GTTTCTGGCACAAACCGATCGTTTCGTGTCTTAGGACATCAGTGTGTCGTCACGAGCCGCAGGGTTTAATTTGGTTATGTTTTTTTTTTAGTTTTATTGTATGTTTTAGCCGTGATTCCCATTCACCTCCATTATAAGACTGACAGACTGCAACGGTTTGAGTTAAAAATCTTCGTTTGTGTTCTACTGAAGAAACAAAGTCACCTACATCTTGGATGCCCTGGGGGTAAGCAGATAAACATCAAATTTTCATTTTTGGGTGAACTATCCCTTTAAGCAATGGTGAAAAAAAATTGGCACAATGCATGGGGAAAAAACTCGTAAAACTGTATTCGGCCTTCGGCCCAGTGTTTCATTTTGTTCGGTTTCGACTTCGGCCAAGAATTTTCGTTTCGGTGCATCCCTAATGCATATTGTACATAAAAATGGAGCTGGCTGAAATGGGTTATTTCAGTCTGTTTGCTTGGCTTTACACAGTAAGGGTACACAGTGTTTTTTGGAAACAAATGAATGTTTACAAGATACTGGGTTGTACAGTGTTTTTGTATACTATTAGAAATGAATACTTTTGTCCAGCAACAATGTATTGAATTGATAAAAAGTTACAGTAAATACATTTAGAATGACAATGAAGACTGGAATAATGGCTGCTTTGCCATCACAAGAATAAATTAAAATTTAAAATATATTAAAATAGAAAACAATTGTTTTACAGTATTTTTGACCAAATAATTGGTGCCTTGGTGAGCATAAGAGGCTTCTTTTAAAAACATAAAAAATGTTACCAACCCCAAACTTTTGGGTGTACATCTGTTAAAAAAATATATATATATTTTGCATTTTTTCATTGATAAATTCTGATCACAGTTAGATTTAATACATATTTTTCCCCTCACAAGCACAATTATAATTATTGTAAGTAGTTACAATTATGTATGCTAATATTAAAATTTTATTTAATTAAAGAATTTATGACGATTAGAATTAGAATTTATATTATCGATTGTGGTATTATCTATTTACACTCTCTGACACACAAATTCAAGCAGATAATTTTTTCTGCTTAACATGCACTCATGCCTCTTCCTATTATAGTGTGCAATACTTGCTCAGTTGCTCATTTTATGACATTATTCAAAAGCATGTGTCTATTAAAATGAAAGACAGATTGTATTCCCTAAACATGTGATGCGGCATTGGTTTTCCATCAGGAGCAGTACCTCAGGCAAGCCTCCATCTTCGTCAGCCTCTTCTTCATCAATCAGACCACCTACTTCTGCTACAAGTGCGTCCCTTGTTCGAGGCCCAGGTGGTGTGGGGACAATAATACCCTCCTCTCGACCAAGTCCTGGTGCTGTCTTCACGCCGTCCCCCAACCTTCCCCCACCACCTCCTCTCCTGCAGGTGTCACCCCACACTTCAACAGGTAAAACAAACTTTACCAGCCATTATATGAAAAATACTAAATGCTAACAACTGTTTACTGCATTAACAACATTATTTAGTGACAATGAACTCATAAAAAAGAAATGTGTATATTCTTGTTCAGAAAGGTGAAGTTCTTTCTTTTCTCTTTGATTAATAGATCAGGATCTGATCTGTCAGGACCTGCCAGACTCAAATGCTGGCTCTGCACCTGGAGGACCATCTGTGTCAAACTCGAGCTCTGGGACATCTAGCAGATCCTCCCAGGCCCAAACGTCTATCCCTACAATGGCCTACCAATTCCATCAGCACAATCACCAGCACCAGCACACTCATACTCACCAACACTTCTTACATCCCACAGCTGCACCACCACCACTGGTGAGGAGTCAACTGTAGCCCATGGAGGGCTAGTTTCAAAAAGTGGCTGATTATGAAATTTCACGATTTGACATTTCTCTTCTGCTTGTTGTGTTTCAGTTTGATAAGTATCCAAGCAAAATAGATGGTCTCTTTCGACACCCAGTAAGTTTAAAATTTTTTAGTTTAAAAAATTAAATGAAATTTAATTTAAATCTGCTGGGTAGTTTTCAAATTTGCTGTCAATATAGCAGGTCTCTGTGGAACACATAAGTGCTTCTAGTTTGTGATTATTAATTATTTATTTTCTCTCCTACAAAGTTTTTTCCTCAGTACCCACCCCCAGTGCCCGTTCTTCCGCCCACAGGACCTTTCAGATCATTGCATGGAGCTTTTCAGCCTAAGGTAAGATTTTTGTTGTTATTTGGGCATTGTTTTGAGTATTAAAATCTGAAAGCTTGGTGTGTAAATATTAAAATCATTCAGGTGAAGAATGCTTGCATATTACCACAATATTTAGTGATCCTGTGGAGATAATGTTGTACTGTCTGTCAACCACATAAGACCATAAAAAGGACAACCACTTCATCAAACATTTAACAATAGTCAGTAGGGATGTAACGATTCACTCAACTCACGATTCGATTCGATTCACGATTTTGATTTTTCGATTCGATTCACGATTATTATTATTTTTACAAAATGAGATTTAAGACAAATTATAAATTAAATGTGTCCTTTTATTATTGCTTGGACAAAATGCTGCAGTGCTCTTTCCATTTAAAATTAGAGGCAACCACTGCATTTTAATCATGATCCAAACAAAGATGCTGCATACATGCAACATGAGCAGTTTTTAATCTATATTAGATTGTATAATTTCGAAATTTGAAGCAAAAACAGAATGGTTTTGTGAAACTAAACATAAAAATATCTGCATTAAAACAGCGGAAGAGCTGAATGAGACGCAGATTCACTCTCTGCCAGCAGGTGGCTCTTAAAGTTTCCTTGGTTTCCGCTGTAAACAAAGCAGCTCTGCACTTATGAACTTTAATATGCATTATACAGAGGCAAGATGAAAAGAAAAAAAAATAGAAAATTAACTTTTCTAAAGACAGTAAGTTCCCCTCAGACATGCATTCATATAAACTCTTACCCCTAAATGAATCGCGATTTGTTTAGCATCTCAACCGATTTGAATCGTCACATATTTGAATCGATTTTCAACCGGCTCGCGGTTAATTGTTACATCCCTAATAGTCAGCATATTTACTTAATAATGTACGCAACTGTTCAAAAGACAAAGTTTATTTTTATTCAGCAAGGATGCATTAAATTGATCTAAGGTGGCATTAAAGACATTGTGTTGCAAAATAAATTAACTGCTGTTTATTTTAACATTTTATTAATCAAAGAATCCTAAAAAAATGTATAACTTTTCCCACAATTATATTAAGCACTAGAGCCCTGGATTTCAACCTGGGCCCGATGGGCCCCGACTTTTTTACACCCCTTGGACCGGGCTTCGGGCCAATTTTCACGTCATAGTACAGATGCGGGCCGGGCCTGTTTTAGGCTTCTCCTAATTTTTATATTTTAGACATCCATCAATTAGTGATGAAAAAAATTGCCGCACTGGTGGAAACAACACGAGACAGTGCTACAGCGACTGTCAAGAGCGGCTCTGTTTATTGTCCAGCCAGCAGCAGCATGCGTGCGTGCCGTCAGCGCAGCTGAAGAGTTCTGCTTTCAAATGCACACAATAGGCTGAAGCTTGATGCAAAGCCCCAGCAAAAGTAATTACCATGAATGTGTCGGGGAAATAGTAAGGAGATATTTTAATTATTTACTAATAAACTAGTGTTTTCTGAGTCCGTGTCGCAAAGATGAAGATGACAATCCTGACTCGCCATCTCCTCATTAGACGCGCCTTTAGAGAGAAGTGCATCTTTACGGATTATGATTATAATGAAAGAGTTTTTGTTTTCGATTT